GCCATGCTCACACCTAAAGAACCAGACAGCCATGCTCACACCTAAAGGGCCAACAATGAAGAGCCTGCAGAGCGAGATGCCAATGGCCCACACTGGCTGTCATCTACACTCCTTCATTCAGTAAATGTTTATGAAGTGCTGACCTCACTCATAATAGGAGAAATAGAAGCTTAACCTAAATGGCAAAACTATTTTTCACCTATCTGACTGACAAAGACTCAAGGGCTTACACAGTCTACAGATGAGGCTGTAGGGGAGAAGACACACATAAAACAATTCCCACTGAATACAATTTTGCAATACCTACCAAACAGAACACACTTTCTCAGTGTCCCAAGAACTTCACTCCCTAGAACTTACCCTAAGGGCTAACACAAAATGATGCACTAGTAAAAATTAGTCAGTGTGACAAGAGACTGAACAATCTAAAAGTCCACTGCAGAGCCAACTAAAGACACTATAGAGCAGCTAGTCAATGCAAAGCCAGAAACAGTTCATCAGAGGCATCCTCTAAGGCATATTAAATGAAAAATGCCAAGCGAACAGTATCTGTGCACACATGGCATCTGTGCGAGGGAACTACTGGGAATGGAGGAAGAACATCTTATCTTTCTTCTGTTTCTGCAAATAATTTAGGAAAGACAAACAGGAAACAGATAACAGCAGTTACCAGGGCAGAAAGAGAAACAGCTTGATGGGACACTGAAGAAAGGTGGTTTTAATGAAAACCTCCACTTATGTTTTGAAACACAGGCTGCATTACCTACCCAAAAAAATTAAACTGAAAATAAATGGAAGGAAAGGAAGGAGAGAGAAGATGCACCCAGTATCCTCTGGTTATTAGAGACAGAGTGGTTACATGTCTGTCCCTGTGGAGCTTACTTCTACAGGAAGGGAAGAGACATTAACTAAACACACCAATGCCAGGTGATCCTAAATAACTATGAAGAAGAATTTAAAAAATAAACAAACAAAGCAACAACAAACAAACAAACAAACAAAAAGCCCAGCAAATAGAATGGTCAGAACTTGTAAAAGGGTTAGTCAGCAATCACGGAGAGCGGCTCTGAGGGGCATGCGGATCAAAGGCCAGCGGGAATGTGGAAGGGCTTGCTCGTCAGCCAGGTACCCGGAGGAAGGTGTTCAGGCCAAAGTGCAGACAAAGTACAAAGCAGTTACATGGAAGAAAAGGAGACAGTCAAGACACAGTGTAGCTGCAGCAGAGAAAGCAGAAGAAAGGCTAGGCCTTCAGGGATCGTTTCTGCAGTTTACTACCAGAAAACCCTGAAGAGCAGCAAGAAGTTCTGAGCAGTGACATAGGACAAAAGGATCTTGGCCTTATTTAGAATGAGCTAAGAAACCACAAGAGCATTTTTTTGGAGACAGATAACATGATCTTTCATTTGCAAGGAGTATGGGTTGGAGACCGGCTGGGAGGGAGGGTGTACGTGTGTGGACAGACAGACTGCCAAGGGGCCCTTCTGCCATTCATGCTAGGGAGGACAGTGGCACAGAGGTACAAAGAAGTCACCAGAACAAAAAAACAAAAAAACAAAAAAATTGCCGGGCGTTGGTGGCGCACGCCTTTAATCCCAGCACTTGGGAGGCAGAGGCAGGCGGATTTCTGAGTTCGAGGGCAGCCTGGTCTACAGAGTGAGTTCCAGGACAGCCAGGGATATACAGAGAACCCCTCTCCCCCCCCCCCCCCCCCCCCCCCCCGCCACCAGAAAAGTATCTGCTGAAAGGCTGGATGTGGGAACCAGGGGGGTTAGCCCAGGAAATGGAGTTGTCATTTTCTGATACAAAAACGTAAGGCCAGTAAGCTGGCACATCAGACACTCAGTCTTGAACATACCAAGTTTAAACCACCTACTGACTCCAAAGGGGACACAGAGCAGGCAACTGGATAGAGGACATGACCTCAGAGGAAAGGCCATCCGAGGATGGGTCTTGACTGAGACCAAAGGACTGCACAGCTCAGCTCTGGATTTGTGCTAGCTGGTAGTCGGAAGAGGACAGGCCCTGAGCACTTGCCAGGGGAGAAAATATCTATGACTAAAACAGACAGGAGAGGCTGGAGAGACAGCTCAGCAGCTAAGAGCACACACTGCTCTTGCAGGGTTCGAGTCCAGCTTCTAGCACCGAACAGGCTACTCAAAGCATCCAATAATTCCAACTCCGGGAGGTCCCACACCTTCTTCTTGCCTTTGAGACACCTGCACTCCTCGGTTACACATTCACACATACACAATTTTTAAATATAAATCTTTTTTAAAAATAAATAAATAAACCCTCTAGCTGGGTATGGTGGCTCATAGCTGCAGTCAAAACCCTTGGGAGACCAGGACTACCAGGAGTTTTTGAGGCAAGACTGGCCTACGAAGTAAGGTCTAGGCCAGCCTGTGCTACAGAACGAAACCTTGACTCAGAAATAAAATAAAACTACAAATTTAAAACTTCTAAGTTTAAGAGGGAAGCAGGATTAAAAATGAGTCTCCATTCACCAACACAGGCTTTGTTCAAACATGTATCAACACTATTTGGTGTGAACTACCTTAAATCTCCTATGAAAACTAAAAAGATGTATATAAAAAAAAAGTTCCCTTATCTTCTTGGGATCTACTATGAATTCAGATGAAATAAAAGAGTAACTCAGAAGCCAGCATTTCTGATAATCTTAAAAAAAAAAATCTTATAAAACTGGAAAATGAAATAGATAATGTCAGTTTAGGAAGGAGAGCCATTAGCCTTTGTGGCTATTCTACGCAAAGGTCATATAAGGACCATGACATACTGAGGACTTTCATTTCTTTCCATCATGACTGGCTGAAGCACAAAGACGCCTCACAAGTCACCAGCCACCTCACTGTAATGATGAATTAACCAACGCTCACCAGGGGAAATACAGCCCTAAGTGGTTTCTGAAGAAGTGACAGACTCTACTGTTGTAGACTGTGGCTGTGCCCTGGCACTGCCATCCCCTATCTACATTAATGGTCTTCTCATTGGTAACATCAAGAAAAACTAGAGACTTGCAAAAGGCTGCAATCGCCAGGCCAGGTGTGGTGGCACATGCCTTTAATCCTAGCACTTGGGGAGGCAGAAGGCGGGAGATCTCTGTGAGTTCTGGGCAGCCTGGTCAATGCAGTGAGTTCTAAACTGGCCAGAGAGGGGAAAGAAATAACTGAAGCCAGAGACAAAAGAGCAGACAGTCATTCTGTTTCCATCTTTACATAGGCACCAGCCAGTCCAATGGCTGCTCCTTTTAGAAACCAGTCTAACACTGCGATTCCAATAACAATGGTCATCATTTTCCAAATTCCCAGAAGACACTAAGTAAAAGGACTCTGGCCAGCTTGAGCATAGTGAGCATGGCTATGGCAGGCCTTGCCCTTCTCTCCATCCCTTCTGCCTTGCTAAAAAACATTAGATTATATTCTTAAAGCTACCACCAAGGTCTATTCTCTCATTTTGTCACTTCCTCTACCTGACACTGACCACCAAGGTTCAGCTATCAACGTATTGAAGTCCAGCAACCAAAACCCCCTTTGGCTTCCTGAATTAACCTGACCAACTAAAATTAAACATTTCCTCCTAGCACAGGATTTCCCCTTTTACTTTTATAAACCACCATTTTCCTATGGGCCAAGTCTGTCTCCTCACTATCCAGAAGTAGTCCTTTGTTGCTCCAATCTTTTTTTCAGAATAAGAGTTCACTATCTCTTATTAAGGTAGTCACTGCCTTTTGTTTGTCTAGTCTAATAAAGGCATCTCACCAACCATGATCCTCAAAAAAACCCATCTCACCTACTTTATAAGACATAGTTATCACTGCTAGGTCTCAAACCAAAGACAATCTGCCAAGGTACCTACTTAACATATCAAAGTGGATGCAGGCTGCCAGGTTTGCCCTGTATCCCTTAGTCCTATTACGGGCTCTCCTGGCTGGCATACCCAACTCCTACTCTAAACTTCTCCAGCTGGCCTGCCCTATATATTCCAACCATTTTGGTTACCTGGCCTTTTTTCATCTACCCTTTACCCTCCTAGCCTCTTGGTCTGGCTCTCCTCTCTCCCCTCCTTATCCTCAGATGGCCCCCACTCAGGGTCATGTCCACTCTGGACTCTCTCAGAGGTCTCTGCCTCCAGCTAGGCTCTCCCTTTTATCTACAATAAACCTTCTCCTACACCATACCTAGGAGCTGTCATGTCCTTTCCTTTTTATTTCTTCTTTTCATTTAATCTCCAAAAAACTTTCTCCCAAAGCAGGAAGCCAGAGGCTGAGACAGAGCAACTGAGGCAGAACAACTGTCCTCCTGGTTTTCAATCTCAAGCCAAGGGCAGGAACAACACTGTGCCCTGGTCTTCTCTACCACTTCCCACTCAGTGTGTGTCCCAAAGATGACTGTAATCCAGAATCAAATAATTGATCTCCTTTTAAACTGCCACTTCTAGAAGAATCCACTATGTAACCTATAAAACTAAACTGGAGGCTGAAGAGATGACTCAGTGGTGAAGAACACTGGCTCTTGCAGAAAACCAGAGTTCAGTCCCCAGCCCCACACGGTGGTCTATAACCATCTGTAACTCCAGTTCCAGGGCATCTGAGGACTCTTCTGACCTCCAAGGGCACCAAGCACATAGACGGCGTACATACAGACATGCAAGCCAAATGTAAAATAAAATTATTAAGTCTAATGAAACAAAACTGAGTTGGAAGAAACCAGGCCATTCTTCTGAAAATGACCCCATATACATAAATCTAAGTATGAGAAGATACAAACTTGTTTTCATAAACTTGGTCACTAGAAGGAAGAAATATGTTAAAGAAATATAAAACTAGTATAAGATACTGAACTCTCATCATTCGTTTTAAATGCTAGAGACTGGAATAGTACTGTACCACTCATAAAGTTGACACAAACTTACTTAGCAACTGGAATAGTAACAGTAACATTAATAAAAGGGAGACAAACTTACCAAAGTAAGGCTATACCCTAAGCACTACCCATTGGCCATGATTCCAACATGTAACACTGGAGATGTTTTCAGGAAGCATGACTGAGCATTCTAGTAAGCAGTAGAAGGCACTGCACGCTGTTCCTGTTTCAATCGTACAAATGTGACTTATCCCAGGCTCCAGGTTCCTTACCTTTATAGATCTTCTCATTGTCACACAAATGCAGAGTGAAGTAGGTATCCAGAAGCTGATGGCCATTTCTATTAACAATGTTCCGAGCAGCAATGTTCCGGAGATGTCGAAGACGCCGCTAAAACATAATCACAGGTAAACAGACATTCAGTTTTTAGCCCTCTATGTTTGGAAAGCAGCAGTTCAAAAGAAAAGGAACAAGACAGGTTGTCCCAGGCACTTTTTGTTGAGCCCATAACATAACATGACTTATTTATGCCTCAGCATGTCCTCCGCCATACAGGAAGTAAACTTTCCTCATCTCGATCAAAGAGCAATTACAAGCATGGAATGGAAACAGATAGGTACTACTTTTACTGTGTACGTAGACGTGCATGTGTGGTTGTGTGCAGTGGAGCTCAATGCGTCTTTCTCAATCACTTCTTTTCCTTATGTTTTGAGACCTGGGCTCACTGATTCACACTGACAGGTTGGTTGGCAAGCTCCAGGGATCTGCCTGTCTCTGTCTTCCCATAGATGAGACTACTGAAGCACACTCCCACAGGACACACCACACCTAGCTTTTTGCATGGCTGCTGGAAACCCAAAGTCTGGACCTCATGCTGTGTGGCAAGCACTCTACCAACTAATTCATCTTCTCAGCCCCTGAAATATTTTTGAAAAGCACAAATATTATGTAAGTGAAAAACACCTGCAAAAGAGTGCTCATATCCCCCAGGGCATAAACTAAATAGAAAGCTGACTCCCCTCGCGCAGATGCTAGATCATTCTGACATAGACATAAGAGGCCACAGACAAAAGGAAGGAAGGAAGGAAGGAAGGAAGGAAGGAAGGAAGGAAGGAAGGAAGGAAGGAAGGAA